TTTTTGAAACAATTTACAATACAAGAGTTGTTATGCCTTCCTCATCATAGGGTGTTCACTTCCAGTACTATGTTTCAAGAGTCACCACATTGACAAACAATATTAATATTCTAAATGGTAAAAATCTTAAGTAATCATATTTTCTAATTATGATTCTTTTATATCTGCTACTTTCATAATAAATGCTAATAATTATATTATTTATATTTTTCATGAAAATTATATGATGTAATAGTCATCTCTCCCTTATCTAAGGAAGAAGGTAAGAAATATTATTTATATTAATTTTACAATTTTAATTTATTTGACATTAATTATACGATTTATTTATTTTCTTGAGATCTATAGATATGTTGTATAAAAATTATAAATTCATATTTTGCTCATATGCATTTACACTATTAGTATGTGATAGAATTATCAGATATCCCTATTTTGCTGATTTACATGTATAGGCAAGTAATTGAAATGTTAAAGCTCAATTAGTCAGGTTGTAATTTTTAATGCCCAAAAAAAAAAAATACAATAAACCAACCAAGATCATATGTGAATGACAGTAAGAATCAGAGTATAAAGTCCTTCTATTACATGAGATCCAATTATACAAGAGAGTGATATATGTAATTATATATTCATGAGCCTGTCCTTGAATCTACAACATATATCACACCATAAGATAGAACTGGAAGCAAAACGAACAGTAAATGCCGTAAAGGCTTACATTTTTCCAAGATAGTTCTTGGTTACAACAAAAGTGAACTTTCCATCCAATACATTTAAAGCCCTTTGGCTGTACAAAAGTTAAGTACAAAAATAATAAAATTGAGCCTTCAGCTTCACAGTCCTCCTAAGCTAAGTCCTTATTAGAGACATATCACTAGCACCTGAAAATAGATTCCCAAGTAAGGTGAGTCAAAGCCCAGTAGACACAATATATGAATATTAACAAGGATGTAAGTATGATGCACATTTAAAATTCCCAATGACAAATCTTTTACAACCTTTTCCAAAACCACGTTATATCAAACTCACATTTCCATCCATTAGTTATACCCACTTCATTTAGTCAACCAAACAGAGGGCATGTCACGACCCGCTCCCCGTACCCAAGGTTAAGTATCGTGATACCCAGTAACTGAGGTTACCTCTGGCCAATTCTTAAACAAATCAATAAACGCGAGCGGAAGTAATATTTAAATGAGGGTACCAAAATAATTATTGGAGCTTCTATTTTTATTACAAAATGTATTGACCAGAAATGCCGATATTTACATATAAAAAAAATATCATAAAAGTGCTATGTGTGTGTATTCTGCAACCCGACTTTCCCAAAAGCTATTTCTGAATTGCATTATTCCCTGAAAATTGGTAAATAACTATAAGCACATGGCAGAGTGAGAAATATTATACCAAGAGTATAAGGGACATGAAATAACCATGGATAGTTAATTAGGCCAAAATATTTACATAACTCAATTTGGTAAATAAATCATTGGTAAACAAATCATTTAAGTGACAGAAACTGAAATACAGAAATTATGTAAATAAATAACCATAATCACGGTACAAAACAGAACAGAACAGAGGTCACAAAAATGACAGTCAGAACAGAGGTACGGATTCAAGAGGTGGCTCGTACAGATTATAGAGGTGGTTCCCACAATAGTGTAGCACTTATCTCCGCACAACAATTTGCTCCGTACAGAACAGAGGTCAATGGATCCATGACAAATAGAGGACCACAAAGTGGTCAAACAGAGGCCAATGGTTATTTAAGTCCCCCAAGGCATGGGACTCCCGTGGTAGTACTTACAAAACATAATTGTTTATAAGGTTATAGTCAAATGTTCTTAAAATATAAAACAAATATATCCATGTGTTTCCTTTTAACAAATAGGGTTCAGAAAATAATCCACGTAACTGAAATATTAATCTAGTTTATAATAATTTATAAAACATAACTTGTATAAAATACATTATGGTAAGTTAAAACATACGTAAAATATATTACGGTGACTCAAGGTATAATATAACTCACCTTAACTTTAATACCTTACTCTTTTTTTCCACTACCAAAGACTCTCTTAGCTTTCATCATTTTTTCGTTCTTTCTCTCTTTTCTTTCTCCTTTCTTTCTCTCTTCTTTTTCCTTTTTTCTTTCCTTCTCTTCCTTTCTTTCTTTTTCTTCCCAGCTAAATCACCTCCTCCCTATATAGGGAAGAGAGAGCATACGTGGCTCCGCGAATCTTCCGACAAATTCCATAATAATTATAAAGATTCATTCTTATCTTTAATAGATATTTAAGATAATTACACTTTGACCTAAGTTTTTAATATAATTATATAAACATAATTAATCCTTAATTAAATTACACTCTATTGTATACTAACAGTAAATTATTTATTTATTTTATACTTTGATCCCTAAATTCATAATAATTATATTATTTCACAAAATTACACATAATAATGTATAATAAATTATATATTTTCCTAACTGCGATTAAATAATATTAGTATAAATTCTACAAAATAATTAAAAATTTGAGTTGTTACAATTTCTGCGGTAGTGCTTTAGATCTTGGATTTTGAGTACGAATTTATGGCAGCAAAGGAAAAGAAAAAAAAAATGTAACAAAAAATTAACTTCTATTTTGGGGAAAAAAAAATTGGGGGCAAATTACTGTTCAATCTACATTTCAAAAAAAAATTGCAGCTTCATAAAAAAAATTTGTGATTTTAATTATTAATATTTATAAAATTTATCACTAATTTATAATTATTTTTTTTGTAAATACAACTAATTTGATATTTTCCTTTTTTTTCTTCATAAATTTCTACTCAAAATTAAAATCCAAACACAATTTAGAAATCCACAACCTAGAATCTGTTTGGTTTTAGTTTCAAAATTAGTTTTCTAAAATTTTCTGAAAAAACAGAAATTAATTTGACAAAAATAAAAATAAAATATATATTTAATTTCTAAAAATTATTTTCACATTAAAAAAAGTAAATCATATAAAAATGATAAGTATTTTTTATTCTCATTTTTTTTTCACTAAATTAGTTTTAGTTGATTTCAAAAAAATAAAAATTAAAAACAGATTCTAAAATTCAAACCAAACAAAATTTTTATTAGGCTAAGTTTGGTTAAGATGAAAATAGTAGAAAGTGAGGGAAATGAAACAAATTTTTTTTTTTTGAATTGACTTAGCATGAAAGTCATCAAAGGTACAAGAAAATTTATTTTCTCGTACAACTCATGATTGCATAGTAACTAAATTTAATGTTGCTTATAAAAAAATAAAAAATACAAAAAAATTAAAATTTGTTACAAAAGTAATTAAAATTTCAATTTTCTTACAAAATTTTCATCTCAACATTTTATACAAAAAAAATGTTTAATGTTACAAACAATTTTTCCTTTTTTTTGTTGGTAATATAAGAATGGGAAAATATAATTCAGTGTAGACAAAAGTAGTAAAAATTATAAATATTAATAATTAAAATTATAAATTTTTTCATGTATCTATAAATATTTTTTAAAAAACCAACTGAATTATAATTCCCCTATAAGAATCAACATATCCTGTTAATGTAACCAATGAAAAAACAACCACAAAGCTCACATATGTATCAGTATACCACTCTCTACGTATATATAAATCTTTAAAAAAAAATCAAAACATAATAAATAAATAAATGAATAAATAAATTTTACAAAATGAACACAAATCCAACACCCAATAACAGTATCCTCATACCCCACAATCGACCCATAAAGTTTGACCCAGCACCACTAGTCTCTCTCTGCTGAGTCGTCAATGTCGACGACCCGTTATAATTCGGGTTCGACCCGTATAAAGATTGAATCCCCTGTATATCATCGCTCACTAGTTCAACTTTCCTCGTCGCTGACGATATCGACGGGTACATAATCGCCGATTCGATCGACGAGTGACCCAAACCCAGTAAATGCCCAATCTCATGCACCGCCACAGACTCCAAATCCACGGCTGAGGCCGCCGTGGAATCGCCAATGTTTCCGGCGACTATCCAGTTCTCGGCGCTGTCTAAATGAAACCTCCCACTCGGCGGCGAGAACGCGTGAGCCAAAGTCCCCAACACGCCGTCGAACGGCTCGCCGTCGCCGTGATCGCCGCTAAAGAAGCCGATCTTAATGTCGGCGTCGGCAAACGACGACGTTTCGTTGAAGGTCATGGGTATGACTTCAGACCAACGCAGGAAGGCTCTCGCGAACACAGCTTTGACTGTATCCGAGAGCTGGTTCTCCGGCTGGAAGGCGTAGCTCAGATCGCGCTTGCTGTCAGGCCAACGTGGCGTTCCAGGGAAGAAGGAGTAGTGAGATACGGTGTGGATGAGATTACTCGATGATTTCCCAGAGTTCATTGAGCTCGAGCCGTTGATTATATCGGCGACGCCGCATCTGGGTTTGACGATGTGGTTCATGGTCGGCTCGTCGAGCTCTCCGGTGGCGTTGAGGTTGAAATTGAGCTGGTAAGTCTTGATAGCCGACTCGAGAGCATCGTCGAAATCATCTGTGAAGTTAGTTGAAGAAATATTGATGTAGCCGAAGTATTGAAAGTAGTTTTTGATTCGAGCCAAGCCGTCGATTTTTTGGCCGGCGTGACAGCCGGTGAGATTTTGAAAACTGTTCCAAATTCCCAAGGTCGAGTTTGGGATGAGATTGTGTGGAATTGAAGACATGTTGGGGAAGAAGTGAGGCAAATGAGCCACTGAATTTGAGAAAAGTGAGGTTAAAATCAGAGTTACGAACAAATGAGCACTCATGTTTGGTTCGCTTTTGTTTTTGTTTTGTTTTGTTTTGTGGTGTGTGTTTTGAAAGTTTGAATTCAAAATTTTTGGTAGCAATATGAAGAGAAGTGAGAGATAATATAGATTGGAAGATATGGATGGGTTTGAAAGGGTCGGCGATGGCGAAGGTGACAAGGTAAAAGGGCGTGGTGGTGTTGAATTTTGGTTTTGTTCTAGAAAGGAAGAGGAGCCGGCGTGTTGGGTTAGGTAGGTAGCTTCGACGAAATTAAGCGCGTGTTTGAGTTGAATTTATTTAGGATTGTTTTGGGAAGGAAAAAAACATGATTTTTTTTTTTAGTCATTATAAAAAGATATATATATATATATATATATAAAAAAGTAAAAAAGTGACGCGTTTTAAATAAATTAATAAATTAATTTTTTTTATACTTTTAAAAGATTATAGTGGTTCTTAGATCATGATACTTCAAGTTTAATGTAGTTGATAAAAAGAATAAAATTTATAATTTCATATTAAATAATTAAAAAATATAAATAAATATAATAATTTATAATTAATTAAAAATATAATCACGTCTCTAAAATATGATCACGTGATGTCTCTAAACGTTGAAATAATTTTTCATGTTTGGAGACTTTTTAAATGTCATCTTTGTCAATGGGATGCCGTAAGCCAAGTATGGTTGTGTGTTTGACGAAAATGAAATTGAACAAAATACTATCTCACTTGGGGGATAGGTAAGTGAACTACTTCTGTATAATGAAGTTCTTTATGAAAGGCAAAATTTGAGTATTCTCTCAAATTTAATTTGAGAGACTTACTTTATTTTGATAATTTGAATTATTTATTTGTATATTTTAGTATAAATATTTATGAAAAAAATTAAATCGATACAATAATCATGATCTTTAAACTGTTCATTTTGTAGGTTCTTAATGTATATCATTCATGAAAAATATTTATATCGATACAATAGTAAAAATCTTTTCATTTTATTGCGTTTATTTAAAAAAAATAGATGACAAAATGTTTTTGAAAGTAGAGCATTCTTTTTTTTTTTAGACAAATACAATAAAATAAAAATGTTCATTATTGGACCGACTTAATTTATTTTATGGATCAAAGATATAAAAGCTCTTACAAAATGAATAATTCGAATTATCGATACGTGACTTGTAGTGGTCCCATGAGAGCTTCAAGTTCTCTCAAGTTTAAGCCCAACTCAAAATTAATTATGAATTGATTATTTTCCTCCCATTATAAGTTGTATATAGTTATTTATTTTAACGGCTGTGCTAGGGAGCTCGAAAACGAGCTCCCCCGAATCCCCCTAATTTCTTTTTTTTTTTTTTTTTCAGCAGAAGGAAGAAGAAGACGGAGGAGGAGGAGGAGGAGGGGGAGGGGGAAGGAGGGGACTAGAGGGGGCCATCAGCAGAGGTGGGGCTGCGGCGAGGCGAGGCTAGGCTGGGCTGGGCGATGATCGGCGGCTGGCGGGGCGACGATCGGCGGCTCTCTCTCCCTCCCTCCTTCTGCTTCTCTCTCTCTCTCTCTCTCTCTCTCTTCTCTCTTCCTCTCTGCGTTTGAGCCGAAAATGGAAGAAAATAGAAAAAAAAAAAAAAAAAAAAGAAAAAATTCCCCAAAACGACGTCGTTTTGGAGATTAGAGGAGGCCAAATTCGAGCTCTCAAACATTATTCTTATTTGAAGCTGTTTTTTGTGGTGGTTGTTGGGATTGTTAAAGTATATCTAACTAAAAAATAACTGACAACGAGTTGATGAGCTCTAGAGTGTATGAACCAAGTTTTGGTTGTTGGCCAATTGATAAAAATAGATTCCAGAGTGTATGAATCAAATTTGAGTGACTTGTAAAGACGAGGTGAGGCATGTCTAGCACTCCTCTACACAAACAACTCAAATAGCATGTGAAGGTGATAGAAAAATAAATAGTTGGAAGAAAATATACTAGGACGAAGAATTGACCTACTAGAAATCACTTAAGATTTAATTTTGATACAATGTTAAAATATTAAATTTAAAATTAATTAATAATTTTTGGAATATATGAACAAAACTTGAGTAACTTATGAAAGTGATGTTATATAAGGTCAAGTTTGGGAACTTGTAAAAAAGTTAAAAAGTCAAAAAGTTACTCAAAAAGTTAAAAAGTTAACACTATTCATCAAAAGTCAACAATTACGACTGCACAACTTCCAATTCGAATTTTTTCCTACAAATCAATTTTTACAATTTTTTATTACATATTTTTCCATAAAAAGTCAAAAAATTAACCCAAACATCCATATTTTCAACCTCAATTTTTTAGTCTAAAAAAATAAAAAATACACTTATTTAAGACACTCCAAACAACCCCTAAGTTTAACCAGGGTATTGAGATTGTGTGCTGTTTATATCTTCCCAACTTAAAATATTTCAACTTCATGTAGTGGTTATTAGACCTATAAACGGTTAGCTTTCTAGTTATGCATTGTTGCACCTCAACTTTTAATAATATATATATATATATATATTTGTAATTAATGTCTTAGTCATTGAAGAAAAAAAAACTAATTAATGAAAAATTGTCAACCTCACATTTTAAATAAATCAAAAACTATGTTTTAAAAAAATGGGACTCGGTTTCAATGACCAGGTGGTCAAGGGATATCGTGTTAAAAAGTACAATTGGGTTTCACTGCTTACGTGGTGTGGCTTTTATAGATTATTATGTTGACCATGTACAGGATCTCAATTTTTTTTCTTCTCATTTGCAAGTAGTATTATATATTTAGTTTTGGAACCATATTAAAATATAAAAAAAGGTTATTATAAAAAAAATAATTCTTCTTTATATTTTTACACGTTATTTTGTAAAAATTTAAAAATAATTAAAATAATTAGTTTTCAAAACAATCTTCAGTGATGCTAAAAACATTAACTAGTGTACTAATTAACATATTAATTAAGACACAAGATATATGTAGATTTTATTACTTAATATCGATCTCACCTAGCTAACATTATATCTAAGTCGATACACTAATTGGTACACTAGTTAATATTCTCAACATTACTGTATTGTATTAGTTCAAGACAAATGCTAATGAGCGTTTTGGAGCGAAAAGTTTGAGAATGAAGTAGAAACATATTTTGAAAATAACTAAAATTATCAAAAATATTTTGACTTAATATGTTTTGGTTTTAATCTTTACTTTAACATTATTGTTTTCAATAGATAAACTCACTGTGAGTGTTGATTTTTGACCATACAACCAAACGAGAAACTCAGCTGGAGAGCACCAGCAGAATAAATTAAGCTCGAACGACCTGTCACAAAAAGATAAGAATCTGGCTATGGTTCGTTCACCTGAGGGCACTCCAACGCTCAAGTCTGTAATCAAATATCTCTTAAAGATAGCAAATTGTGCTTAACTTACAAGAGAGAACTTATTGCTCACAGTATATGACACATACCTGAGACCCACGGGGGTTCCTTACTTTTATAGCGAGCATTGACTTGACCCTTGTAGAAGCCTAACTTCAGTGAATTCAGGCTCAATGCTCATCTTGGACTCTCAACTAGATAGAGATAAACTCCATAAGAGCTTTATTTTTATCTAGACTAAGATCCTCCCCTATTCTAGGATTCTTGTCCCTTATCCACTCATCTTGGATTCCATTATCTCCGCAGATAACCTCAGCCTAGCTGAGATCACCTTGACATCAAGACCAGGTCACGTGGCATCTCGGCTGATACTCCGACATCACCTTGGCTACGTGCTGTCATTCGCAAAATATGTCTCCACAACTGCCCCCTAGGTTCTATTACTTCAGCAACCTGAGGTGATGGAACCTACATCGCCTATTTATATATTATGTCGAGTAATATTCATTCATTCCTTCGATCAAGATCATGACTCGTCGATTTCAAGTTCCCAAGACTCAACTGTCTATCTTTATCAATGACCAAGAACCAAGTTCTTTGAGTTCTTCAACCGAGATCGTTTCTCTAGCCGAGGTTTTTGCTACATTAAATCAAGAACTCCAAGAGTTTTATCTGTGCATGAGCTGTCACGCACAGTTTTCTTAACCGTTTCCACCACTCGTCCCTTTCACATTGGTTCGTACCTAACACGTGGTAGCAGGCCGCGTTGCTTCTGCGCACGTCGCCTGACAGACACGTTGTCCAAGGCGTATTCATTTCCTTTTGCCGCCCTTTCAGATTTTAACAAAAATTCTTTTTCTCTCTCTTCGCCTTCTCACTTCACATTCTCTCGTTCTTTCTTTACCCTCAAACTTTCTCTCTCTAAAAAACCTCCATTTTCGAACCTTCAAAGCTCTACAACTGCCTTTTTTGATGAACCCTCTGTTACTCCATTTAGATCAAAAGCATTGTCTGACTCTGGCGCACCCTGCTCCGGCGTTCTTGTTTTCGGCCCTATTCAGTAAGTTCACAACCTCTTTCTCTTTAATCCCATTCTTTTTTTTTTTTTTTGGGATTTGTTTCTAATCTGTCACATGTGCACATTGTCTGTTGTTGTGAGACCCCTAACTTTTGTAAACCTTATTAGGTCCCAAAATTTTGAGTTACTATAGCAAAGCCTTTAATTCGTTGATTGCTCGCAAATTAAACCCTAGAATCGAAAACGCATCACGGACGAAACCATAAAAACCCTAATCGACCCTGGAAGCTTAGAAATCATTTATAACACTCTAATATTAATTATTTAACTCTCAAATTTTAGATTAATTGCTCTAAACTCTAACTTCCGATTTTTACAGTCTTCATTCAGTTATTTACCTTTAAATTCAAAGCAAGATAATACAAACCGAATTATTTTTCCTAAACACTAATTTATTAACTCTTCACTTGAAATAGATATTTTAATTGAGCCCAAGCCCTCACATTTTTATTAAATCACAAATTGAGTTCAAACAAGTACCATTATATATTTATATATACACTTGTACCCTAAAATCTTTTTTTAACATTATGTTTTACAATTTTCAAGATTTGTACATAAAACAAATAGGAAAATCTCCCCAAATCTCGAGGACATGACTAGCCGTCATCATTATACTTTAGTACAAACAAATCCCTTGAATCTTGGAGCAATAATGACTTTGGTACCAATAAAGATTTGCTATGAGTATTTAAATTAGCCCTAAACCTAACTAAATCATAATTAAATACATAAATAAGGTT